AACCAGTTGGTTTTCGCAATTGTGAGTTAAAAAAAAAAAGAAAAAACAAACAAAAAAAAAAGAAAGCTGACAATGTACCATTGATGAGAGGATTTTTAAGGGAGAGCAAGCCACAGGCCATCCTGAGAAAGGAGCAGAGAGACCGAGGAAACGCACCGCTGTGTCTTGTTCGTGGGGTGCTTGTGACGCTCTCACAGGACGCCCTGCGGACCACGCCTTGGGTGCTCGGTGGCAACTGCAGAAGGGTGAGGTGTGTTCCCCTTAACACCAGACGGCGGATCTTGATGGCGGAGGAACCAGGCGTCAGAGGAGGACAGGTCAATCCGGGAGCATTGATAAAAAGGAAGAGAAACTTATCTCACATTGTCAAGCTGTTGGGGCTTCCAGGGACCTTGTCCTCTAGGCCTGTCCCTGTGCCCTCCTGTCCCAAGGCCTGAGAAGCCAGGTGTGGGGTGGGAGCAGGCCAGGGCCAGGTGCTTCGTGCCCTGAGGCTCGAGTCAGGCTCTGTGGCCACTTTGAATCCAGGGGCCCGCCCTGAACTCTGAGCTGGTCTCCTGTTCAGTACGCGGAGGTGATGACCTCTCCCACCCAGGGGCATTTGAGGACTCCTGAGGTGGCAGCAGTGATGCCCAGCCCAGCACGCAGAGTGCCCAGGCAGTGCCCACCCCTTTCCTCTCCCTGCCAAGGCGTTCTGGGCGTGAGCCCGCATGGCCCCCTGCTTGGGGCTGTCACCACAATGCCATTCCTCGCACGCCCCGCAAGTCCCTTCTATGGGTGAGAGCCTGACTTGAGAGACTATTTTGGGGAGGAGTAAGATGACCTGCCCTTCTCAAGAGTGAGCGGTTCTTACATGACTACCTTGAGCAGCGATGGTGCTTCCTGCAGGGGTGCGCCCACGAAACGCTCTGCACGAAGCACGTTGCTGCCTTGCTCAGGCCCAGGGAGAGTGGAGGGTGCTGTGCTCTTGGGCTGGGTCCTGGCTCAAGGGTTGGGGGCTGGAGCACATCCACCAGAAAGTCACTGGTGGCTGGGCTGCGTCCGCGGTGTTGCTGGAAGAGGGGCAGCGCCTGCTGCGGTGTTTGCAGTGCTTGGTCACGGCCCCGCGTGGATTCTCCTTCCTGGTGGAAGCCGTTCCGTCCCCAGGTTTTCAGCTAACCTATCTGAGTTTTGATGAAGAGAGCAAGGGGTTTTGCTCATCTGGATTCCTGTGGAAGGGCCTCCTCTCTCTGCTCCTATTTTCTAGCTTGGCAGCTCTAGCGCTAGTTCTGCAATATTTGAATTTGAGTAGCCAGAAGAATTTGCTGCCAGGGTGGCCTTGCCCTTGACTTTGAAATGAACTCACCCGAGACTTCAGCTTGTTGCCTCCTTTGGCTGATGCTGGGTTCTGGGCTCTGGCCGCCGCCTGCCTGTCCGTCACAAAGGACCATGTTCTCCAATCAGGACGGAGTTCTAAGTGTTACACAGTAAAGCCGCAGGAGTTCGGTGTTCTGTTCTGGACAGCCTGAGAATGATACTAAGAATGTTTTCCGATTGATTTGGTGAGCTGTCTGTTTATAACGTCATTGGAGCTGGTTTTCCATGACCAGAAATTATTCTTGACCTCACAGTAAAGGACTCTGAAGCCCCCATCCTCTGCCTATTTTTTTTTGTTTGTTTGTTTGTTTGTTTTTATTATTGTTGTTGTTGTTATTTTAAGAAAAGACTTGTAGCATCAGTCTTAGGCGTACTCTCCTTGGCAGTAGTGATGGGCAAGGCAGCTGATGGAGAAACAAAGCGTGCTGAGGTTTTTACCATTCAGGAATCATAGCACAGTAGCACTGTAGTATTTCATCACAATTTACTCTTTACTTTTTTTCATAAAGAAACAAATAGGCCTATGGTGACTCTCACCTGTAATCCCAGCACTTTCGGAGGCTGAGGCAGGAGGAGTGCTTGAGGCCAGAAGTTTGAGACCAATCTGGACAACATAGGGACACCTCTTCTCTACAAAAACAATTAAAAACATTAGCTGGGCATGGTAGTGTGCATCTGTAGTCCCAGCTGTTCAGGAGGCTGAGGTGGGAGGATCCTTTGAGCCGGGAGGTTGAGGCTGCAGTGAGCCATGTCATGCTGCTGCACTCCAGCCTGGGTGACAGAGGGAGACGCTATTTCAAGAGAGGAAAAAAAAAAAACAAAGCACCAGCAGAATTTAGAAATGTGGGCCAGTGTGGGAGCCTCACCTGGCATCACTGGCCTCGGGCTGCTGCTCTCGCCCTGGAGCCATTACTTTGAGAGCAGATCAAGGACTCAGCAGGCAGGAGGAATGTTCATGGCAGCAGCAGTCCTCGCGCTGCACACGCACACCACGGCCCCACCATCGCCCCTCGTCATGGCTGGGATGGGAGACAGACTTCAGAAGCAGAGCCTGGGCAGAGGGAGATACCCGCTTCCAGAAGGGGCCTCCTGCTGCTGAGTAAGGGGGTGGCGCCCGGCCGGCTCAATGAAGGGCATGAGGAGTGCTGGCTGCGCTTGGCCTGAAGGGGTTCCTGCAGGAAGGCCTTGCTCCCCGATGGGGCTGAGGGACCCAGCTGAGCAGGAGCAGCAGCAGGAATGGGCAGTGTTCTTGGAGCCCAGAGGAGGGGCAGGGCTTGTCCTTCTGGACGGGCAGCCCCAGGAAAAGAGAAGCCCAGAGCCAAGGGCCCTTGCCCCAGGGAAGGGTCCCACGTGGACCCCGAAGACGCTTCTCTCTGCAACCCTTCCTGACACACCGTGGACATGATGGACGGAATGAGGAAAATGAGCTGCTTCTTTCCCTTCTCTCTCGCTTCTCCCTCCCATCACACAGCATGCAATTACGGAAGAGGATGAAGAAGGAAAGAGCAGTTGGAAAAATTCCGTAGGAACTGGAGAGGGGAGGATCGGGTGTTTTTACAGCTCCTGGGGTTCTCCGGGGGACGAGGGTGTGCTGTGTCCACTGCTGCGTCTTCATTCCTGTTCTGCGGGAAAGCCCAGTCTGGCTTCATCCACATGGATGGAGCAGAGTCAGGTTCAGTTGGGATTTTTTTTTCCCCGCTCATTTGGAAAAAGAGGAAAAGACACTGGGATACAAAGAGGGCTTGATAAAGAAGAGGTCTCCTTGGTCCGCCTCTCCAGGACCCTCTGCGATGGTGGAAAGGGCCCATAGCGGCAGTGCCTGTCGGGGCAGCCACTGGCCATGCCTGGCTGTTGAGCTCATCAGTGGCCACATCAACACGTGGATGGTGTGACCGAGGAACTGGATTTCAAATTAAATTAAATTAAATTTCAATTTAAGTAACCACATGTGACCAGTAGCTACCTACACCGCACTCTCAGGAAGGCTCCAGACGGAGGGTTTGAGGATCTTCCTTTATCAGTGATTTGAATGGATGAGGCTTAATCTGTTTGAATTTCCCAGTTGGGGTAAAAAGAGGGAATGCTTGTACTGGAATGGGAGTAGGTTCACAGCGCACGGCCTGGGCCAGCATCAGTGTGTTGCTGAATTTATGCTCCTTCCCAAGGTTGTTCGGGAGGCTGCAAGAGACGTTCTGTGTTAGAGAGAGGGATGCGCTGACTGTGCTGGGGGAGTTCACTTCGTCGCAAGGAGCAGAAATGCCCTCGGTGGCATGGATTGAAAGGCACTTATGGACGGAATTCAGGAGAAATTCATGGAGCGCTGCAGGGAGTCCTCTGATGGGGCCTCTCTTCCTTCTCCATCTCCCCTGCCTCCCAAGCCCCAGGACTCCCCGTCTTCCATCTGCTTGGTCCCCAGCTGCATCCCCACAGGCTCTCCGCTCTGTTGCTGGTTTGACTCGTCTGGTGTGTGCCTCCCCTGTGACATGCTGGGAGCAGAGCGGAGCAGCTGTGCCAGTCCCTGGGCCGCAGCTGGGCTGTGCTAGGTCCAGGGTCTGTGAGAGCTGCTGGGAGGCCACCAGTGCAGGTGGGTGGGACCTTGCTTCGTGATTCCACCCATGACGCTTCTCACTCAAGGAATTTGCTTTTGTTTCCATGCATACTATTGAAAATCACTTAGCCAGTAAGCAAATGTTGGCCCTTAGCCTGTTAAACATTAGTACAAATAAGCGCGTGCTGCTGCCCTCCCGTTGTGCAGCTGTGATAAACACCACTTGCCCTGCCTCGTGTGCCTGTCTCTTGCGGTGTCGGCGCCCCAGTGCCATGGTCGTGCGAAGGGATCAGAACATCTGCTTGAGATTAGACCATGTCAGCATTTTACTGGGGTTAGGCACCTCCATCCTGGTCATTGCACCACGCTGTGTCCCTCTACTGAAATAATCTCTACTTGGTAGTCGTCTTTCTGCATTTAAAACAAAACGAATAAACCTATTGTATAGGATGAACCAGTAATGAGGCATTTTCACTCTGACGTTGGCAGTGGATGTGTTGACGCTGAGAGGATATTCGTGGTGGCAGGCTGTCCCCAGTTCCGGGTTTTGGATATTTGGAATAAGGTAGGCTGTGACGGGCCGGGCGCGGTGGCTCACGCCTGGAATCCCAGCACTTTGGGAGGCCAAGGCAGGTGGATCATGAGGTCAGGAGATCGAGACCATCCTGGCTAACACGGTGAAACCCCATCTCTACTAAAAATACAAAAAATTAGCTGGGCACGGTGGCGGGCGCCTGTAGTCCCAGCTACTCAGGAGGCTGAGGCAGGAGAATGGCAGGAACCCGGGAGGTGGAGCTTGCAGTGAGCCAAGATCGCACCACTGCACTCCAGTCTGGGTGACAGAGTGAGACTCCATCTCAAAAAAAAAAAAAAAAGGTACTCTATGGCGATGAAGGGATGCTTCCAGACTCAGTACATTTTGGAGGAAATAGTGTTGTTCATCATATGACACAGTTAAGTCTCTGAGAGATAATTAAATGAAAATCATTCTAAATGTTTGATTAATGCCTTTCTAGCCTAGCCCCTGTAGGTGGAGTGTCATGATTTCCACGTTGTTGGGTCCTGGATAAATGATTTAGCCACAGTCTCACGGCTCTGTAAAGAGTGGCCGGCTGTTCCTATCGCTGCTGATCCTGTGTGCGCTGTGCACCAGATGTGGGTGGAATGAGGCTGCAGGAGCACCTGCCTCCCCAGTGGCTATGATGACTAAATGAGGAGGCCCCTGTAGAGTGTACAGCGTTCACCCGGTGATGGTGTGATTGTAACAGCTGGGGTTGCTGGGACCCAGAGTATCCACGGTGTGCATGCACTTGAACTTCAGGATTCCCTATTTCCCTCTCAGGTGCAAGAGCTCTGGCGAGTCTGGATCCCTACACATGTGTGTCAGGTTCTGGAAACATCTTCTCTCATCTCCCCGTGATGCCCAGGGGCTCCCCCAGCCTCTAGAAGCCACTGCTTGTCCAGGGCGCCAGCAGGACAAGCTGTTGTCAAGCCTGGATTTGATCCTAGGTCTGGTTGCTTCCGGAATGCCCAGATGGGCCTCTGCTGTTCCCTGAGCTTGCTGTCAGCAAATGTTTGGTGACAATAATTATTTGGTTTGGAATTTCTTGTTTATGTTTTTGTCCATTAATTTTTTATCATGTGAAATATGTTTTATTTTAGCAAACCTAAAAGACCCATGACACACAGGTGTCTCTTCCATATTGTGCTAATTCCTGCCTTTTTTTGGTGTCTTCTCATCTCAGCATCAGTAGTGGTGGCCGTGTGGGGACAGAGGCACTTAGCAGCAGCGGTGCCGGGAATAATGATTTGACGTGAGGGATCTGTGGAAGAGGCACACGTTGCTGCTTGAATTCCAAGAACGCTATTTACCTTTTTGTTTTGAAAGTTCACTTTCAAGGCCTCAGTTTTCTCAAAAGTTCTAAAGTGATAAACAGAGTTTTTCTAAGATTTTCTTTTTGAATTGGGGCCTTTGATGTGGCGCAGCCCTGTGTCAGGTGGGGCTGAGCCCAGAGGGTGCTGAGGGGATGGGGCTCACGGTGACAGCATGGCATGATCCCGAGACAGGACATTGGCGCTGTGATGGGCGCTGCCAGTGGGGCCTGGCATCCCCAGGCCTTGTTAGCCGGCAGTGACCACAGGTAATCGATTCATAGGCATTCTCATGCCCTGCTTCAGCTTCCCTCAGTTCAGGAAACCGCAGCACAGCATGGCTCCACAGCAGCTCACGGCCGGGCAGCCAGGGAGCTGCAGAGTCTGGGCTTGACCTGTGCACCCCCGTCTCAACCCTGTGCTGTCACACCAGTGTCTGAGTTAAACAGCAGTGCAAAGCTCTGGGTCCCATCTTCTAGTGGGACCTTTGTGGCTTGCCCACAGGTTGGCGGCACGGAGCGCTGCTCTCTGGGGCAGCGTCGGACCCTTTCTGGAGTGGCGTCTGCTTTGGAGGCCCTGGTCGGTGTCTGACGGAGCTGTGGGCCTGCCTTGTCCTCCGGCCGAGGTTTGAGCGAGTGCTGGCTGCTTGTGGGAAGGTTGGGGGCTCAAGCGCCTTCATGATTGCCTTGCCCTCAGTCCCCACTTCTGTCAGAACTTACGCAGAGCAGCACGTGGGGTCCAGAGGCTTCTGGGGAGCCACCCATGCCCCTGACCCGAGGATACGCAGGCCAGCCCTTGTAGGAAGCAGCGTAAGACGTAATTCCTTTTTTTTTGAAACACGAAAACAAACAGCAATGGGAGTTTTATTTGTTCCCTGCAGCCCCGCGAACATCTTTGGGAGCCAGCTAGAGAACTGATCATCTCTTTGGTGGGGACAATCAAATATTGAATGTTGAGGGAAAGTAGGGCAAATGGCTCCAGGATTGTCCATTTTTCACAGACCTGGTGAGTGAGTTTAATCATTAATCATTAATCCGCACTTTCTAAATTTATCTGCCCCGAAGAATCTCCCGGGCAGAGGTGAAAGTCCTGGTTCCCATGCCCCCTTGACCCGACTGAAGCACAGCTCCGGGGCCTGGCAGCGGACACGCACCCCGTTTCATCCCTGTCCGGAGACACATGTAAGCAGTGCTGCCTCGGTTTGTTATTGAGTGACTTATTTTCAAGGAAAAAGAGCCAGAAATGATTAGATAAATGCAAAGTCCTAAAAAAGAAAACAGCGCTGTTTCTCTTAAATGCCAGCCAGCATTGTGACCCTGATCTGCCGAGGCCTTGCAAGGTAGTTGAGGCCGCAGGAAATGTCATGGGGTGGCCTTTAGAATTAGAGTGTCAGCACCCAGCTGGCTGCCTGCGTCTGAGAAAGGAGGCATTGTAGCCAGTGAAATGGGGGAGAACCAGAAAACCAGCTGGGCCAGGGCGCTGCAGGACTGGCTATGACCACCCTGTGCCACTGTCTGCACAGTCCCTGGTCCAGGCGGGTATTGGCCGCCTTCTGGGCAGAGTGCTGGTGTCCAAGCCCAGGGCACACATACGGCCGGCCGAGCACATCCTCTGTGTGCGTGCACGTGTGCATACCTGCATATGTGCATGTGCGTGTGCTTTTGAGAGTGGTGGCTTTCTGATTGAACAAGCAGAGTGGTCAAGGACATGGCTCCAGGTCAGCCCTCGCAGGCTCCAGTTTGGTGCTGCCCTTTTCTTGCTGGATTAACTTTGGACCGTCCCTGAGCCTCTCTGTGCCTCAGTGTCCTCATGTGTAAAATGGGGGTGACAGCATCCTCAGCTCTGTCCTGCTTCTGTGAAGACGAAGAGTCCCTCTGTAGATATGCGCATTGCCTGGTAGCTCTGATTACTGGCTCTTCCTTCAGCGCTCTGTAAGAAGCTGTTGCAAATGAAGTGTGAGTTGGTGACAGAGCAGTGAAGAGGCTGAGGAAGATAGTGAAGGGCTCTGGGGCACTTGTGATGTGGTTTGGAGAGACAGCTGCCCTGGAACTCACACAGGTGGCCCGCTTCTCTGGTCTGTTTGTGCAGAAGTCATTGGTAGTGATTTTGTTGGTGGTGGTGGTTTTGGTGAGGATGTCCATTTAAGAAATAAAATGACGCTGAACAGGAATGGTAAACGAGACACAAAACAGAATGAAAAGCCTTCCAGAGGCTGAGCATGAAAGGAAACAGCAAATTACAAAGTGAGAATGCCAAGAGCTTTCTCCTTTAACAAACCAGGGTGCATTGTTCTCCTTTCTAATGATAAGGGAGGTCCTGTTTGCTCTGGGAAGTTTTAGAAAGGACAGAGGCATATGAAGGGGAGAATCTCTGACTCCTCCTAGTCCTGTCACTCTGGGTTTGACTGTGAACATTTTCATGTGTTTCCTTCAGGCTCCTGCCTTGTCTCGTTCTCGTTGATTTGTATGTTGCTAGCTTTTGGGTGAATAAAAATCTGCTCTTTTGCTTCTCACCCTTGACAGTTTACCGTAGTCATCTTTTCACATTATTAAAAAACCCTTAGCAGCTGTTCCCTGGCAGTAAAAGTCTTATCAGACGGGCGTTGTCCCGAAGCCGTTGGACAGAGTCTTTCCTGGGCCTCCCTGGCCTCCACACACCTGCCCCCTGACTCAGAGCAGAGGCCTAGCTTCTGCGGCCCTCTGTCCTGTCCTGAGAGCACACAGTCCCAACCTGGATGACGCTCGCGTGACCTGAGGGAGGACTGGCATGGTCCCATTTTACAGATGAAGAAGCTGAGACACTGAGCTCCTGGCCTAGGTGGGCTGTGCTGCCTCCGAGGCCTCTGAGGCAGGCTCACCTGCTCCCCTTGCTTCCAGCTCCCTGTTCTGGCACCAGCTCTGCTTGCTATCCTGAGCCTCAGCCATGAGGAAGCCTGGGGTGCCCACAAATACCTCTCTGTGTGCCCCAGCTGTTCCCACTGCTGTTGTCCCTTCCCAGAAAGAGACAGCCCCACCCACTCCGAAGCCTGGGTCGGACAGAGCTCTTCCCTCCTTTCCACCTTCAAGGTGGACTCAATTTCCGAAACACAGTGGCGCAACCTCCTTGCAGTCCCTTTACTCTCTCTTTTTTTTCATCTGTGCCCTGGGAGCCGAGTAGCCTCCAGAGTCCCTGTCAGCCTATCCACAGCTTTCAGAACCTTTCCAAAGTGCAGATCTGATCAGTCGGGCCTCTGCCAAGGCCCGTCAGGGGCTGCCAGTGTCCACGTCCCCATAGCGAAAGGACAGCCTCACTGAGTGCTCTGTGCCCAGGTTCAGAAGGGGCTGCCCCTGCCTGGTGATTGCGGTCCTTGTCTGAGTCACTGTGAGGTGATAGAGGTAGATCATGGGGCACTTCTATTTTAGCATAAATGTGACACTTCAGTGACCCTACACTGCACAGAGCATCCACGAGCTTTCTGCCTGACTTGTGAGAATGAGCTGCTCTTCCTCCCATAGGCAGCAGAGGGTGGGCTGGGAGACGATGGGCAGGTATTTGCGTGGCCCAGTTCTCTCTAGAAATGTCTCTGTCAAATTAACAAGTGGCAGTTAGTAAATCGCAAGTGGATGATTTAAAGTCCTTCTGTTACTTTTAGAGTTCTAGGGGCCTAGCAGGTGCTTAGCAAATACTTGTTAAATGTTTTCCCACTGGAAAGGTTTTCTAAGGAGGAAGGAGGCTGGTGTTCTCGCTGTCAGGGTTTTTACGCCATCCGCTGAGTGCAGGTGTTTTGGGAGCACCTAAACTGTATGTCCAGGTGATACAGGTTAGCTTCCCAGTATAGGGTGTGATGGACCCAAAACACAGGAAAACCACGTGGCCAGGCACAGCAGCTGGAGGCCCAGTGGCTGGAGGGAGCCCAGAGATGTCTTGTGCGTAGCCGCTGCTACACTCCAGGAAGCCTGGAGGTGCCCTCTGTGTTGGTCTGGGGATCCCTGTGTCCACAAGCAGGTGGGCCTCAGGCTCCAGCTCTCAGCTTCTGCCGGGCTCTTGACCCCTTACCTACCACCTCTTGGTAGCAAGAATTTGACCTTTCTCCCATGCTCCTTCCCTGCTCTCCGCCCTTGTTAATGTTCCGCCCCTGCTGGGGTAGATTTTATCCCCCTTTGATTGTAGAGGGCAGGGCCCTTCTCAAATAGGGTTTTCTGGGACCCTGTGGTTTTGCAAGGTGTTTAAAGTTTTTCACCATAAAACTGAGGGCAGGGGGGCAGGCCCTGTTCAAACCTCTTTGGGGGAAGCTCAGAGAAATTAAGGCAATTGCTACGTTCAAGCTCTGGGAAGCTCCCAAGTAGAGAAGCCAGCGGGGCCCTGCCGAGAAGAGCCTTTTCCAGTTTATATGTCATGGACCTCCTGGCCCCTCACGGGATGCCCTTTGGGAAAAGCCTTCTGAGGACTGACCCAACTGGAGCAGGTACCTGGGAAGGAAAGTCATTTCCAAGGGATTCTGGGCTACGGGGAGCTGGCTGCTGGCCTCACACCTGAACCTGAAGGCCAGGTGGGTGGTCTCATTTCATGTCCATAGGGACATTCAGCTGTATTATTTTTTTAAGTAAAACTGTATCTAATGAAGCTTGCTGTTTTTTGAGTGATAACTTCCGATCGGAAATGTTCTTTTTCCCGCTGAAGGGCCTGAGCAAGGTTTGCGCTTAGTGTTGTTGGGTGCCTGCTTCCCC